AAATAACTTTTGCATTAATGTCTTTAAAGTGCTTTTATTTCAATTTTTTGAATTTCGATTTCAATTTTGAATTTAGGTTTCGATTTTGAATTTCGATTTCGATTTTGAATTTAGATTTTAATTTTAATTCCGCCAAGGGTATTTCGATTTCGAAAACTTTGTGATTTTTGAATTTTATCAAATGACTTTCGCCATCATGTATGTCCGATAGTCATTTAAAAAAAGCATAGTGAGTGACCAACATCTATAACATACTACTAATACATAGAGGTTTATTATACATTACTTGCTATTAGCATTATTACAATTTTGGATTTTTAACCGAAAAATTTATATGAATGCTAAAAACAAACTTTTACATATACTTTTTGTAAAAACCAAGCTACAAATTGATGTAATTTTATTTATTTTTATTTTTATTATACAAAATTTGTGAAATTATCAAAAAAAGTGTTTTACTCCAGGTAATATATATATATATATATATGATAGCAACAATAGATTCCTTGATAAATTAATTCTTCTTTACTATCTCATAAACTTCAAATTCTTCCACCAAATAAATGTTTTCATTTTTATTTCTAAAATTTAAATCATTTTTATAAGAGTTCCTGGAATTAGAACTATGATAATAATAATAATAACAATAAGGATCATTGTTAATACTATTACAAAGACAAAGATTAAGAAAATTTATAGTCATTTCGTGAAATTCCATATTATCTACAAATACATTAATACTTTGTCCATCATGATATATTGCATATCTTGGATCTATAACTCTACTTAATATTGAGTTATTTATTTGATTTTCATCAATTTTAAAAATAAAACTTTTATCTGTTTCAATCCAATAATCATCATCCAGAGATTTTTCTTTTATATTCCAACCAACTGGGTTATAACCACCAACCAATTCTCCTGTATCTTTAATTTTCATAATGGCTACAGTTTGTTTAATATTATAACATTTATCCTCAAATACAGATCTAGAGAATCCATCTTGAGTACCCTGAAGAATTAATTCAAATTCATAAGGTATATTGTTTTCATTATATAGACCATTTTTATAATCAATCCAATTTAAAATTAGAGATTTCATTTGTAAATTTAATAATTTTCCTATTTTTGTTTCTGTTTTTGTTATTGTTTTTGATCTTGGGCCGTTTTGAAGTAATAGTTTTGGTTTCCATTTATCACTAATATAGTATAGAAAAATTTCCTGATATATTTTTTTATCAAAAACTTTTTTAAATGGTAGAATTTTATCAGAAAAATCATTTGAAGAGATTTGATTGAATCTTATTAAAGGAATAATATCTTCCATTATATTTTTTAACACAATGAAATCCTCTTTCTTCCACTCTGAAATGTCTTTGTCTAATTTTTCATTTTGATTTTTTCCCCATTGAATGACAATATCCCAAATATCAATTTCACTTAATTCCAAGTCATCTCTTTCTAACATAGTCATAAGTATGGACTTTTCAATTGTTGCAATATCATTAGATTTAAAAAATAATTCTGGATTTTTACTAATTATCTCACAACAATAATCTTGAAGCAAGTTGAATGATTGATGATGTGATGAAGCTTTATGAGCATAAATTAAGTTCTGTTGAATCTATTCTTTTTTTTTGTCAATCAAATAGTTTTGTAAATCATTAATTAATTCATTAAAGTTTAATTCATCACATGCTTCAAGAAGTTCAAAAATTT